TTTCACTGAAGAAAGCTAATACAAGCCCTAATACAAGGTTGTTGCAATAATCCATGCAACCAATGATAATAGCTTGGACCTTGATAGTAGCAGAGGCAATGATGAGACATGGTTAGAGACTAGAAACACTTTAAGGTAGAGCCGATTGGATTTGCTAAGGAATTCAGTTTGGCAAATAAAAGAAAGAGAGGCATCAGGGATGACTCCCGGGTCTTGGACCTGAGCAACTGAGGAGATGGCATCAATTAGGATGGGAGAGGTTGAGAAGGCAGGGAGGTAAGTGAGTCTAGGCCTAAGGGGAGGAGCCAGACTGGGGAGCAAACAGGGTGTTGATGGCATTAAAATCCTGGAGACAGGATAAGTTCACCAAGGGAGTGATTGCAGGCAGAGGAAAGAGGCCTAAGGACTGAGACCTGGCGACACAGGGGTATTCTAATATCCAGAGGTCAGGAAGAGAAGGAACAACCAATGGAGAAAACCAAGATAGGGTCAGGGAGATTGGCAGGAAATCTGGAGAGCATGTGTCCTGGGAAGCAAATAGAGAAAGTACTTTATTCCAAGAAGGATCAAGTGATCAGCTGTGACAAATACTGTGGGGAAACGGTCAGTTGGGGCAGGGAGAGTCACGGGCTCTGGGGTGCTGTGGAGGTGGGCACTGGGCAGAGAGTCCAGTGTGGAGAGAGGAGCTGCCCAAACACACATGGGCGAATTGTCAGCACCCTGCTTCTGTGTTTGAGGGTTCCACACAGAGACAAATTTCAGGCTGGTATGACAGTCGCTTCCCACGTCCATAAAAAAGGCAGTGCCCTGAAAATACCACGTCAATTCACACAGGCTGGCTGGGGGTGGCAGCAAGGATTTGTGTCTGTGACCAAGTTGATTTTGATGGATGGTGGGTCATTCATGAAAAGATAAGGAGGAGATGGGCTTGGCTCATGAATTTGAGTCATGTGGGACTCAAATAGGGAAGTCATATCTGGTTCCCAGGGAAGACTGACATGTGACAGGCCCTGGCTAGGGGAGCCAGAGGGCAGAGAAGAGAAGGAGACCACAGTCAAGCAGCTTCCAGACCCTGCAGATTTGCTCCTTGTACCCTTGATGTGGGCCAAGAGCTTTCTCTGGTGGGAAAAGCATGGATTTGGGTATCAAGCGGCTTCATGTCAAATTCAAACACCAAAGACGGGTCATCTTTTTACAAATGAGAAATTGAGATCACAGAGGTTGTGCCACTTGCTCAAAGTCACATGGTTTGTCAGATTCAGCTCTGGACAGAAGGGCACAGCATAAGCTCAGCCTGCTTAGGTCCGAAGTCAGGACTGTTCCTGATCTCTGTGGTTTCAGAGCTAGAGCTTGTGGGGGGTTCCACAGAGGAGAGGCGGGGAAACCATCCTTCAATGTGTGTCCCACATGGGCCAGACACATGCTGAGGAAATGGTCAGTTTGGGAACAAGGAAAGTCACAGGCTATACTGGGACAAGGGTTGTTCTGTTTTTCCTCTCAATACTTTTAGGTTGTTCGTTATTTTCTCCACTTTACCGATGAAGAAACAAAGACTAAGAGAAGCTAAGTAATGTACCTCAGGTCATATTGCTGGGAAATGCTGGAGTCTGGGTTTGAACCCAACTCTCCTTGCCTCCAATGCCTGGGTTCCTTTGTCTATAACATCACAGGCCGAGCAAAAGCAAGAATGCTGGATGGAAAATCTGCTCACCCCTCTTACTCTCACAGCAACCACAAACATGGTGCCTCATTGGGCCTTGAATTACTCATTTATAAAATGGGAACAACCATTACACCCATCCTATAGGATTCAATGAGGTTCTGTCCATAAAACAGCATTGTGCCTAGCACATAGTATTCAAGAAATGAGAGCTGTTAATTTCGACGGTTATTTTCATTTTATGGATGAGAAAGCCTGCAAGAGTCCATTAATCTCTTCATACCATGAAGAGTAAAGGCTGAAGTCTGGATTCAAAGCAAGGCATAAGGAATTCCAAAGTTCACTTGAGCTTTTTTTCCATTTTAGTCCGAGATAAGACAGAGGAAGATGGACATTTCAGGCACGTGGAATACGTCGAAAAACATGAGATGAGGTTTGGCCTGCACGAGCAAGGATGAGGGAACACAATGGCGTCAGATTCTAGCCATTTAAGTGGCATCTTAAATGTCAAGGTGAGCTATCAGGGTTTTCAGTCCATGTTATACATGGGGAGACTGCCACATGCCAGAGTCTGTGCCTGGCAGAGCAGAGCCCTGGCACGAGCCCTGTTTATAGCTGTCTGGACTGACAGTGATGATATCACCCTCAGAGACTTTGCCCTCCTCTCTGACCCAATCTTCAGCTGCTGAGGTGGTGGGTTACATGCTGCTTAGAAGACCACTTCGAGATTAAGGCACTTCCTACAGATGTGTTTCCTAGGAGATAAGGAGGAGCTTGGGTGAGCCACAGCAACCTTATATTGTGGGTTCTATCATGCCCATTTGATGGAAGAGAAAGCTTAGGCTCAGTCAGAGCTGATGCGCTTTGTCCAAGATCACACAGCTGCAGTAGGTCAATTTGTATCCAATGTTAGTGCTCGCTCCTGGGTTAGGCTGCTGGCTTCTGAAAGGCACAGACAGGTGAGATGGGTCAAACATAACCAGGGGACACCCAGGCATGGGTGGAAGATGGCAGGCAGAGGCAGGTTGAAGGCCTGGGGAAGGACTAGCAGAAGGATGGTCCTTCATTAGAAATGGGGAGAGGGGGTGGGAGAGATGTGGATCTTAGGAGGTTAAGGGCCTGAGGACAGTGAGCTGAGCTGTGTCTGCACATCTTGCTTGGGGCCAGCCTGTCTACATCCTTCCCCCAGGGAAAACACCATGGACTCACCTGGGCCAGAGACACCTGGTTGGAGCCCCTGCCCTGCCATTGACTATCTCCATGACTTTACCTCTTGGACCTCACTTTCCTTGTCTATAAAATGGTCTCCCCATCACTCCACTCACTCAGGTGTCTTGAGGACAAGCAGAAAGTGGGGTGGTCCAAGGCCCTTGCCTAGAGCCCCGTGCTGGCAGGCACTTGATGTATAAGCACTGTGTTCCCCTCTGCCCTGGGTTCCCTGCCCTTCTCACCTCCAACCCCCTTTCTGGGAACCAGCCCCAGCTTGTCAGAGAGCCAGCCAAGTATCAACCCCGCCCCAGCCGGCCAGTTAATGAGTGACCAGAGCTCTGGAGCCTGGCCCATAAGGAGCTGCTGGCCAGAACGCAGCTGGGAGCCAGGTGGACGGTGGTGGTGGGAACACAGGCAACGATATGGGTGACAGAGCTGTGTCAGGGCTCCTGCCGGGGGTGGCCATGGTCCTCCTGCTACTCCTGCAGAGCACACAGTCAGTCTATATCCAGGTGAGTCCCTCCGGTCTGCCAAGGAAGGCCCCCATGGTGGGAGGCTAGGCTGGAGAAGGTGCACTGGGAATTCACCGGGTGCAGGAGGAGCCCAGGGTCCAGGGTTCAGCCTGACCCTCCTCACAGCCCCAGGACCAGGACAGCAGATGGGTGAGGGCAGCCAGATGTCGATGGCAGCGATGACGGGGAGGACAAAAACAAACCGCTGCTAGTCAGCACGACTCTCCTTGAAGACCCGTGCTGGCCACAGAGGTCAGAGTGTGGAATAAGATATGGACCTGCCCTGGAGGAGCCCAGAAGGGGAGGGAGAACTTCTCTGTGCTCCCACAGCCCTCTCTAATCACCCAGAGACAGGTGCAGGATGTCTGTCACCAGAACAATTTCCCTGGCAGGTCATCCTTGAGCCGACACTGCAGGATGAAAAAGAGGTTGCCAGGCCCAGAGGATGGAGAACTGTGCTAGGCAGAGGGCACAGCATGTGCAAAGGCCCTGAGAGAAGACTGGAAGGAGTCGAGGTAGCAGGACCTGCTTGGCAGGATGCTGCTGGCTTGGCCAAGCACAGCAGAGAAGTCTGTAGCCTGGGGTGTAGTGTCCATGACTCTGGGCAGAGTCTCCTTGGGAAGAACAAAGGGGGTCCTGGGAGGGGTGTGGGAGGCTCAGTCTCCCCCTGTAGCTCTGGCCTTGGAGCCCGGCCAGCTTAGGCTTCCATCACTTTGCTGTGTCAGTTCAGGGAAGGCGTCCAGTTAGCAAATGTGTCCTGGTACCCAGCTCCACAGGGGAACTTCAGATGAGGGAGCTGAGGCTCAGAATGAGGAAGAGAAGGCAACTGGGCAGAGGCAGAGGTGGGATTTGAACTAGGGGGCTGCCTGTCTCTAGCACCCCTGCCTCAACCCACCAGCTCCAGGTCCAGCAGCTCCAGGACCTTGCTGCTTCATCCTCTACCGGCTCCTGACAGCCTGTGGCTCAGTGGGGCATGAAGGGGGCAGGGTGGGAGGAGGCCAGACATCGCCTCCCAGCTCCCCACCCCCTGGCTGCTTTTTCCAGAGTGGCCAGGACCTTCCGTGAGGACAGAGGATCAGCGGGGTCCAAGGAACCCTGGGTCACCTGGCAGTGCCTGCCCCTGGTCCAGATCTTGATACGCCTCTCCCTTCTCTCCTCCCCAAGTACCAAGGCTTCCAAGTCCAGCTGGAATCAGTGAAGAAGCTGAGTGATCTGGAGGGGCAGCAGGTGCCCAGCCCCCGCCTGCGGGTCCAGAGCCTCCCGCCCTCCGTGTGCCACCACCCAGCCCTGCCCCAGGACCTCCAGCCTGTCTGCGCCTCCCAGGAAGCTGCTGGCATCTTCAAGACCTTGAGTAAGTGCCCGTGCCCTCCCCCACCCCCGCAGAACTTCTGTCCCTTGTTCTGTCTCCTCCCACACCCAGCTCGCCCAGCCCTGGTTGCTTCTGTTAAGAAACCGGAGGCTGAAGACAGGGAGATTCAAGAAACTCTGCCTCTGTCTCCCTGTCTCCTCTCTCCCGCTCGGGACTTCCCAATTTTGGGCATTGCATGTCAGTCATGCCCAGAATCACTTAGTCCTGGAAAGTCCTTCAGGGACTTCACATATGGGAGAGAAGGGAGCACAGGGAACACGCTTGCAAACAGGGAACACGGAGGAGAGGTGGCCCATGTCTGGCATGGGATAGGGGAACTGTAAGGCTTCCAAGAGGAGATGACAGCCAAGCCAGAACCTGAAGGATAATGCAGAGCTGGGCAGGAGAATGTAGCAACTAGTCAGCATCTACTGAGCACTTACTGTGTGCCGGGCCCTGTGTCCATCGTGTCACCTGCATTCTCTCCTCACCGCGACCCTGTTTAGCAGACAAGAAAACTGAGGCACAGAGAGTGTGAGTGACTTGCCCAGGCACCACTAGGAAGGAGAGCACCTGGGACCTGAGCCCAAGCCTCTCACTCTGTCTCTAGTATGTCACACTCCCAATCTGTGAGATTGACGCCAGGTGCTCCCAAGCAGGCCTTCTCTGCTGCCTGACCGCAGCTACCCTGGGTTCAGGTCAGCTGACCAGTTTTTCTCTGTGCCCAGGGAGCATCGCTAATGATGACTGCGAGCTGTGTGTGAACGTGGCCTGCACGGGCTGCTTCTGAGATGGCCCCAGGTACTCTGAGCCCACCTGGGACACCTTGCCCCTCAGCCATGTGCCTTGGCAGCTTCCCGCCCTCGTCCTCGCTCAGACGCTCCACCATGGCCACCACAGGACCCGAGCAGCTGGATCCAGTGCAAAGTGACTGGAAGAGAGGCCGGCCTCTGAGGCCGCCCAGCTCCTGAATAAAGATTCTGTGCCACACACAGGGTCGAGGTGTCCTTTTTTTCATCCCCAGAAGCCATGGGTGGAGCTTCTTGGGGAGCTGGGTAGGTTGAGGAGAAAGACTGGCCTGAAATACCAGGCAGAAATTCCCTGAAGTATCCGAGGCTTGGGAAGTTGATCCATTAAACCCTTTTGTATTTGAGGGAGCCCAAACTTGGGGGGGGGGTCAGAGAATGAGCTGCCCAGGATCACAGAGCTGAGAATCCATAGAGCAGCCAGACCCCTTGCCAAGCTGTGCTCAAGGCCTCCCCCAGCTCCTGAGCAAAGAGCTTTTGTGCTCCTGACCCAGCAGTGGAGGGAGGTGGGACTGCTGGGGTGAATGGAGGGAAGATTCATGAGGCGCCCCTCCCAGGCCCTAATAGGGCCGACTGCCCAGGGCCTGCCTGAGAAGATGGGCCCTTGGCCTTCATCCTCAATCCCTGAGCTCCTGCTCTCCCCAGCCACGCCAGGGACCATCTGGCCAGCTCCCACTGGGAGACCGTTCCTGCCTCTCTCCATCCTCTTCCTCTCTGAGGGATATTATTCATAATAATAACCAACATTTTGGGGATATTTGCTCTATCCTAGGTGCTATCCTAAACACTTGGCACATGTTGACTCATGGCGTCTTCACAACAGTCTGACGAAATACTGTTATTATTATCCTATTCACAGTAAGGAGAGTTGAGCGCAGAGAGATAAATAGCTAGTCCAGATCACAGGCTGAGCAAAGTGACATTGCACTTTGGACATCTGGACCAGAGTCCACGCTCTGACCACCATGTTTCTGCCTTTCCATGCTGCTGGGCCCAGACGATGACACCTAAAGGGAGGCCCAGTGCAGCCACCGCATCCTTGCACCCGTCTTCAGTGCCTTCACTCAAGCCGGGAGCCACGTCGGGAATTCCCAGGAGCAGGGTCTCTCCAGAGTGGGTGCCTCCCCAGCCTTGATCCTGGGAAGCCAGGAAGGAGGAAAGCTGGGTGTAAAGGGGCCATGCCCTCTGCACTCAGCTCTCCAAGGCCATGGTTGATCCTCAGACAGTTGCCCTCCCTGACTGCTCAATTCTGCTCGTGAGTCCCACAATCCTCCAGGCTCCTGGTTCCTCCTCGCCCTCATCCCACAGGCAAGGCCGGCTGGTGACCTTTGCAATGGCTCTTTTCATTGCACTCTTCATCCCTCACTTGGGCCCTTTCCGCACTACCCTCGGGCCAGGCCAGAGCTTCCTTCCTGGCCCTGCATCCCGTGGGCTCTCCATGCCCACCAGGCCAGAGGAGCACTGCAGCGCCGTTCCAATTCTTTATATAATAAAGAATCCCCAGTGCCGCCTCTAAAGTCTCACCTGGGCCCAAGCACCATCTGGACTCATCCCCCACTGTTCTGCACAGCTGCACTGGATTCACACTTGCCTGGTGAGACAGTCACGGGAACGGACACTGAGCGCCAACCGGTGCCAGGCACAAGGCTGTGCTGCTATACAGAAGCCGTGATCACAGCAGCATCGTCAAGGTGCTCGCTATGGGCCCAGCGAAGCTTTTCCTTTTTCTTCTTTTTTGTTTTACAATTTCCCCCACTTCCTCCCCCTACCTCCCCCACCCCAGACCCTGGTAACCACGATTCTACTTTCTACTTCTGTGCGTTCAACTTTTTCAGATTCCACACTTAAGGGAGACAATGTCATATTTGTCTTTCTGTGCCTGGCTTATTTCACTTAGCATAATGTCCCCGGTTTCATTCATTTTGTAACAGATGACAGGATTTTTTCCTTTTTTAAGGCTGAATAGTATTTCATTGTCTATATATATATATATATATATATATATATATATATATATATATATAGTTCATTTTCTTTATTCATTTATCTGTTGATGGACACTTGAGTTAATTCCATGTCTTGGCCATTCAAATAATGTGGAAATAAACATGGGAGTACAGAAATCTCTGATATACTGATTTCATTTCTTTGCCTATATACCCAGAAGTGGGATGGCTAGATTATATGGTAGCTCTATTTTTATTTTTTGAGGGACACTCCTACTGTTTTCCATAATGGCCACACTCATTTACATTCCCACTACCAGCATGTGAGCATTCTATTTTCTCCACAGCCCTCAAAGACGCTTGTTAACTTTTTTTTTTTTTTTGGATAAAAGTCATTCTTACAGGTGTAAGGTGATATGTCACCGTGGTTTTAATTTGCATTTCCCTGCTGATTAATGATGATGAACACCTTTTCATATACCTGTTGGTCTTTTGTATGTCTTCTTTTGAGAAATGCCTGTTCAGGTCCTTTGCCCATTTTTTAATTGGGTGATTTGTTTTCGTCTATAGAGTTGTGTTCCTTATATATTTTGCATATTAACCCCTTACTAAACATATAGTTTGAAATATGTTCTTTCATTTTATAGATTATCTTTTCATTCTGTTAATTGTTCCCTTAGATGGGTAGAAGCTTTTTAGTAATATGCTATCCCAGCTGTCTATTTTTGGTTGTTGTTGTTATTGTTGCCCGTGCTTTTGGGGTCACGTGCAAGAAATCTTTGCCAAGACTAATGTCAAGAAGGTTTCCCTTATTTTTTCTAGTAGTTTTTTGCTTGTTTGTTTGTTTTAAGAAAAGCTCTTAGTACGTTGCCCAGGCTGGCCTTGAATTCTCGGGCTTCAGCAATTCTCCTGCCTCAGCCTCCTAAATGGTTGGGGCTACCAGCATACACCACAACGCCCAGCTTCTTCTACTTAGCTTACAGTTTCAGGTATTAAGTTTAGGTCTTTCATTCATTTGAGCTGATTTTTGTATATGAGGTGAAATAAGTATCTAATTTCATTCTTCTGTATGTCCCAACATCATCTATTGAAAAAAAACTATCCTTTCTCCATTGTGTGATCTTAGCGCTTTTGTCAAAGATCAGTTGACTGTAAATGTGTAGATTTATTGCAAGTCTCTATTAATTCTGTTCCATTGGCTTCTATGCCTGTTTTTGTGCCAGTACCATGCTGTTTTGATCACTATAGCTTTGTAGTAAATTTCAAAATCAGCTAATGTGACATTTCCAGCTTTGTTTTGTGCTCAGGGTGCTTTGGCTATTTGGGTCTTTTGTGGTTCCATATGAATTTCAAGATTTTTTTTTCTGTGAAAAATGTCATTTGAATTTTGATAGGGATTGCACTGAATCTGTGAATTACTTTGAATTGTATGAACATTTTAATAATAATTCATCCAATTCATGAACATGGGATATCTCTCTATTTATTTGTATCTCCTTCAAGTTCTCTCATCACTGTCTTATGTTCTCCAGTGTACAGTTCTTTCACATTATTGGTTAAATATATTCCCAGGTTGTTTTATTGTTGTGGCTATTGTAAATAGCACTGTTTTCTTAATTTTTCACAGTATTAATGAATAGAAATGCTATTGATTTTTGTGTTTATTTTGTCTCCTACAACTTTACTGAATTTTTTTATTAGTTCTAATAGTTTCTTGGTGGACTCTTTGCGATTTTTCGTATATATAAGATTATGTCATCTGCAAGCGGAGACAATTTAACTTTTTCCTCTCTGAGTTTGATGCCTTTGTTTTTTCTTGCCTAATTGTTCTTGTTAGGACTTCCAGTATAGTACTATGTTAAATGAAAGTGGTAAGAGTGGGCACCCTTGTCTTGTTCCTGATCTTAGAGGGAAAGCTTTCAATGCTTTTGTTTGAGTCTTCTCTTTTTTTCTTAGTCTAGCTAAACATTTGCCAATTTTTATCTTTTCAAAAAGCCAACTCTTAGTTTTGTTGATTTTTGTCTATTGTTTTTCCAGTCTCTATTTCATTATTTCTGCTCTGTTCATTATTTTTTCTTTCTACTGACTTTGGGCTTAGTTTGTTCTTCCTTTTCTACTTTCTTGAGGTATAATGTTAAGTTGTTTATTTGAAATCTTTCTGCTCTTTAAAATAAAGGAAAAAATTTGAAAATTGTAAAAAAATAATAAAAAAGAAATCTTTCTTCTTTTTGATGTGGACATTTTGTTGCTATAAACTTTCCTCTTTGAACTGTTTTTGAGGCATCTCATAAACTTTGGTATGTTACTTTCATTTTCATTTGTCTTAGGATTTTGAAACATTTCTTATTTGACCCACCAATTGTTCAAGACTAGTGGAATTTTAAGAACTTTTCCAGTATTAACTAGTTTACTCTTCACTTAACTCTATGATGTAGGTGTCTTGTCATCCCCAGTTTACAGATGAGAAAACTGAGGAGAGAACAGGCGAGGTAATCTGCTCAAAGTCACACAGCTATAAAAGGCAGAGCCAGGATTCATACCCAGAGAGTCTGGTTCCAGAGTTTGGGCATTCAGTGATTCTACCCCACCACATATCTCATCAAATCTCCCAGCAACCCCGGAAGGCAGGATCTGCCTTTCACTGGTTTATTTGTTTTACAGTTTAATGAATTCCTCTTATGTTAGTGCCAGACCTGAACTGAGGGCTTCTCGTGCATTATTTCACCCAGCCCAAAAGGCAAGAAGTATTGGTATCCCAGTTTTACAGAGGAGGAGACTGAAGCACAGAGATGAAAGGTGATCTTCCTGACGTTACACAGTACCCAGAAGACCTGGGGCTAGAACCCAGGGCTGAGACTGTGTAACCCTTTCTTTTGCCCTGCTCAGTATGATATTCTCAGGTAGTCATTCATGTGGATTGGCCTCACCTGCTCCGGGAGTCAGAGAGACTTTCCCAGGCACAGAAGCCATCATACACAGGTGACAAGAGCTGTGCAAGGAGTGTGGGTGATCAAAGTGTCCAGAAAGCACCATGGACAGAGTAGGAGCATTAAGCCTTTTCCTGGGGGAGTCAGGAAAGATGTCTTGAGGAGAGGCCGTGGAGCAAAGCCTTGGAGCCAAGAAGGAGTTCACCTGGCCAGGAGTATGGGAGGAGGAGCAGTGCAGAGGAGGTGACAAGGAGCAGAGCTATCATTTAGGATGGGTGTCTCAGGGGAGGGCAGGAGGCCATGTTGGCATGGTCAGTAGAAGCCAGATCCTGAGGTATCTTGAGTACTCAAGAGCTTGCTGCCAGTCTCCTAGAGATTCGAGTGTATGTGTTGGTCATCCAAACTGCTCTGTCGGGCTCCCCATGTAGCTTAGTGACTTTGGTGACCCCAGAAGGTAAGAAAGAACCCTCTCCCCCACTGGGGCCCTGAAGATTCAGGCCTTCTCGGTGTCTGTGTGTGGTGGCAGCCCCAGAGAGTGTGGATAGCTCAACAGGGAGAGTAGGGTCCTTCCACTTAGCACACTAAACCCCAATTATCCCAGAGCAGGGTAGACTGACTTGAAGGAAGGAAGAAAGGTAACACCAGGAGTACTCTGGAATCTGCTTTATTAGTTGAGGGTTGGAGTGAATCCAGGGAAGGGTGGTGTTGAGGGTAGGGCCACAAGTCACCCAGCCCTTCCCTGGGCTGCGCTCTCTACACTCCTTTGTTCTGGCCAGGGTAGTTTGAGGGGCTGGGAGTGAGAGAATCGTGGGCAGCTGTTCCAGCAGGAGAAAGAGCTTCCCTGGAAGCTGGAGGGGAAGAGGCCAGAGAGCAAGCTCCTTAGCATCCGGTACAGGCAGCGTAGGCACAGATCTCACACATGCTTGGGTCCTCAGCGATCACCTCTGGACAAAAGAGATGGGAACTTGTGAGTCAGCTCTTCCCTCCCCCATCCCCTGCGTTCTTGGGCCCAGGATTGGACATTGTCTGCCACCCAACCCTCAGGAGAATCCCAACAGGTCTGTCTTCTCTGACCCCAAACCAGGCACATGGACCTCTCAAGACAGACAAACAGAGTGGAGAATCTACCCAGAAAAGAGATTCAGCTAAGACCGGATGAACGGGGCACAGTGCTGCCAACTCATCTATTAGAGCAAAGACTTTCCTAAGCCTCCCCGTTACAACTCAGAATTAATTGAAGCAGAATGTCTAACAGACCCACCAATCAGAGCCAAGCTCCCTAGTCTCACCAATCAGAGCCAAGCCCAGCCTCTGAATCCTACCAATCAGAGCACATCTCTTCCTCCAGTGCCACCAATCAAAAACAACTCCTAAGCCCCACCAATGAGAGAGAAGGCTTCTCACCCAGCCTATGAAGGATGTCCTGGGAATTGGGCTCCTTGCAGAGAGGCTTGAGTTCTTCTGGAAACTTCTGGTTGTTACAGAGGGTGGGAGCCACAGGTTTACCAGGCATGGATTCAAGTCTCCTGAATTTCCCAACCCTTGGCTCCTGGAGGTCTTTGAGTTTCTTCACTGATTCCAGAGAAAAGGAGAAATCTCCATCCTGGAAGAGACACACCCAGAGCATGAGACCAGGCCACAGCCTGCTTCCTGGCTGAGTCCATTCCCCAACCCCTAAGTCCACCATGCTGGCCCTGGCTCAAGCCCCAGTGGCATTCAAAGCAGTGTTTGTGGCAGATGGGAACCAGACACTTCCCTGCTGGGCCATGTGAGGGGCTGAGCTCAGGCCTTCCGCCCTGCCTCTGCTCTGTGACCCCGGGAACTCAGGTTCTACATGTTATATGAAGAATGGAGAAAATGGATGCGAGATGCCAGGGATGTAATAGGTGCCTAAAGAGTAGGAGCCAATGAGCTGATTTTTAGGGAGAGGCACAGGGACTGGATCGGCATCATAGCTCCACATGGCCAAGCCTGGGCTGTCTTCTCCCTGCTGGCTAATCACTGGGCCCCCAGTTCCAGCTTGTGGCCTGGCTTTTGTTTGAGAAGCAGTAACAGGCCTCTGGAAACCTGGCTCTGATAGAAAGCAGGGCTCCTGCTGGGTGCCAACCTGGCCTGTTGCCAGCATTGGCACCAGTGGTCACACCTATCAGGACCTCCAGGATGTCTATGTGATTCCTGGGACCCAGAGAGGCACTCTAGCTGAACGCAGAACTGAGGAATAAGGTCTAGATTGAAATTCAGCTCCTTCACTTCCCAGCTGTGTGTCCATGGCCTGTTACAGAATCTCTGTGAGGCTCAGTTTTCCTCTTCTGTAAAATGGGACTAATAATCCCTTCCTCCCAGCATGATGATGGGACCCCAGTGAGATAATGAGGGAGGACACACAGCAGACACTCAATAATTTGGCCATCTGCCCACCTTTCCCAATCAGTCATCTATCTTCTCTCTACCTGTGGTTCTTTCTCCTCCAAATTTGAAGGGAAAGGTGTGTGTGGCAGGACTAAGAAAGGGGTTCCTGAAGAAGACCAAGCCTCAGACACACAGCCCCCCTCCAGCCCCAAAGAGAGGGTGCTTGCTCAGGGGACAGGCCCAAGGCACCGGGGGCAGAGGCCTGGCTGGGGCAGGGTAGGGACAGAAGACTCACCTGCACAGTGACCCCATCTGCTAGGGCAGCCCAGGCCCCGAGGAGGCACAGAGCGGAGAGCAGGAAGGTGTTCATGGCAATGGTGCCCAAGAGAGCAGGTGGCCGGTTCTGGATGCCAGTGGGAAACAGCAGGACTTTTAAAGAGGGCAGGGTTATTGAGTAACCCAGGAACCTTTGTCAGTCTCATCGGCTTCACCTGTCAGGCCTCATCAGATAAGGCTCAGGACAGCCCTGAGAGATAAGAGCCTGGCAGAGTCCCTGCCCCTCCCTGGGCACCTGCTTTGACCCACAGCCAGGTTGGGTCCTGCATTCATTGATGCCTCCCACTAACAACTGCTCTGGGCAGCCCTTTGCTGGGGTAGGGCTGCAGACCCTGTCCTGCCCTTGAGGAGGGAGACCCAGACTCAGAAGAGGCAATGTAGGGTGATTAGGGTGGGGGTAGAAAGGGGGAACCTGACACACCCCTGGGCAGGGCAGGGCAGGGCAGTTCAGGAAGATTTCTTCAAGGAGGTCACTGAGTTCTGGAGAATGGGTGGAAATTTTCTCAGAGTAAGGGCTAGGGGTGGAAGACCATTTCATGCCAAAGCTGTTATATTCAGGAGAGCCAGGAGGTGAGACAAGCCTGGAATATTCAGAGAAATGTGAACAATGTCAGCCTGGGGGTGGGAGGAGGATGGGAGGTGGCTTCTAATGATGAGGGTTGAGGTTGGAGACCAGGCAGTCCCAGGCTTGGCTGCTACTACTTTAAGGATAGCCTTAGTGCCTCACTGACCTCAGGCCTGAGTTCAAATCTTACCTACTGCCCAGTTGTGATATGTGTGAACAATGTTTTCCCCTCTCTGAGTCTCATTGTCCCTTATGCCCTCTGTGAGGCCCAATAATCATACCTACCTCGTGGGATAGGTATGGGAGAGTACTAAAAAATCCCAGAATTATATTTTGGAGGGTGGGCCCCTTGTAGTACAGGATTCTCCCACTAGCTAAGTGTTCTAGGAATCCATCAGCATCAGTGTCCCAGCTAGTGTTGATGTGAGAGACTGCATTCAGCTTCAGTGAATTTATCCTGGAGATTCTTTCAATGTCAACGTGTTTGCCCATTTCATGATGGGTCATTTATGAGTGCACTTGAGTGTTTAGCAGTTTTTGACCCAAAACACCATGACCCCTGTGCCCCACCTTCCCTACTCACCTGATTTCACCCAAGTAACTTTTGTTTCCCCAGATGAAAAAGTCCTCAAAGGGAAACATTTTGCCGACGTAGAAGAGGTGAAACAAAAAACAGGCAAAGTACTAAAAGACATCAAAATTGACAAGTTCAAAAACTGTTTTGAGCAGTGGAAAAAGCATCTTGATAGGTCTATTGCATCAAAAGGAGAGCACTTTGAAGGTGACTGAAGTTTAAACATGTAAGAATAAATGCAACACTTTTTCATATTTTTTAATTATTAAGATGTGGGGTACAATTCGGGATTAGGTATACAAACGTTGATTATGTAGGTACTCTTATTGATGAGGTCTGCCCCTCCCTCCCCTAGCAGTTTCACTCAACTGCCAATCTCACCTTCCCTCCCCTAAGAGTTTCCCACTACTGCCAATCCCTTTCTTATAGTATTATAATTGTTCGAGGTCCACTTATAAGTGAGAACATATGGTACTCTGTTCTTTGTTTTTCTAATAGATCAATGAGTATGATCGACTCTAAATCCATCCTAGTTCCTGCGAAGTCCATATGTTTGTTCTTCTTTATGGCTGCATAATATTCCATTGTGTATATGTACCACATTTTATTTATCCAGTCCAGCTTCGATGGGCTACATGGTTGGTTCCATGTTTTTATTATTGTGAATAGAGCTGCAACAAACATATGTGTGCTGGTATTTTTTTTGTAGAATGACTTGAGCTCCTCTGGGCATATTTCCAATAGGGGAATTCTAGGGCATATGGAAGGTCAATTTCTAGTTCTTTCAAAAATCACCACACTGTCTTCCAAAGAGTTTGCACTGGTTTGCATTCCCACCAGCAGTGTAGAAGAGTTCCTTTTTCTCCTCATCCTCGCCAGCATCTGTTGTTGTTTGTTTTATTAATGATGGCCATTCTTATTGGGATTAGATGGTATCTCAATGTGGTTTTGGTTTGTATTTCTCTGATGATGAGTGAGGCTGAGCACTTTTTCAAGTGTCTGTTGGCTGCCTATATATCTTCTTTTGAGAAGTATCTGTTCAAGTCTTTTGCCCACTTTTGAATGGGGCTGTTTGTTTTTTTTCCTTTCAGCGTGTTTGAGTTCCTTGTAGATCCTAGATGTTAGACCTTTGTCAGATAT